CTCATGCCAAGTCTTATTGTGCTATTTCTACACACAAGTTGGAACTTGCCATATTTGTTCTGATCTCCCTTACTGATCATACACAAACTAAGGGCATAAGCCATATCTCATTTTTCTTGATATTCTCTGAAGCATATAGCAAGAGACCTTATACTGGGTCACTTTTCAATGTGTTTTTGTTGCCTGAAAGAATGAATGTATGGATATTCACAGGCACACTGGCCTCAATAATGGCGAATGTCTGTGGGCTGGTAAGCTTTGAGTATTTATTTCCAAGGCGGGACTGTAACTCAACAACGCAAAGTTCTAAAAACAAATTCTGTACTTGTGAAAGATGCCACCTGGTCCGCCTCAGGGGCTGAAGTCCTCTTTTTATGCACGGAGTGGGAACAGGACAGGGAGTGACGAGCTGGTTTTCTTCAAACCACTCCCACTAACCGGCTGCAGCCAAGGACAAGCCCACACCTTTGGGGGAGAGAACTGTGCAGTCTCTGCTGCCATTTGACCTCTGGTGTCACCGCTGGAACTGCCACAGTCTGGGGCGGAGGTGAAGGCAAGGAAGGATTCGTGCCAGCTCGGATGACATAACCCTATGATTCCAGCTTTCCTGCCAGGAAAAAAAGGCAACTGGTTTGGAATCTAGTTTTTCACCCCTCTTCTCCTGTTATTCAACCAAAATCTACTTTACATAACTAACCATTAGCTTTTCTTGCATAACTTACCACTTTTCTTTTTAAATTTAAACAAACATTACTTAGTGTCTAATTCAATTGACTGGCTTGGGTTCCTTTGAAAACAAATGAATGGACCCTGAAACATGCACATTTTATAAAAGTCCCTTGTTGGAGAAGAACACAAAGTTCTCAGAACCTTTTACTCTGCAAGCCACGTATAGAACACAGCGAGAGACCAGGAAACAACAAGCATCTAAACACTATAGAGGTGTTCAATCAGTCATGCATCCCGGCACTGCTAGAAACACCAGACAACTGTGCCAGGACAGATTTCTGAAGTGAGACCACATTGTAGAGCTTCATAAATTATAATACACTTGGGAGTTTTCTACCCAGTGTCTCTGACAGATGGCTCCTCTTTTGTGGGAGCCTCTAATTTGGGGGCATTTGGTATCCATATCCCTAGAAATCTTTAGGGTAAAATAAATTTATCCCTCTTCCTGTATGTGATGACAAGACCCCAGAGTAGCCTTTTCCTATTTTTGAGACTAGTTAATGTGAGCACAGTGCCCTTGCCTACTGCATGGACTAGCTGGGGCAGAGACATTACATCAGCCAGACTAAAACGGGTTATTTCCCAGGCTCAAGACAGCTTTCCATGCCATGTAAAGTCTTTTATCAATTTTTACCTACTGTGGATCAGGCTGTCGATCTCCAGGGCTTCTGCCTGTCAAATACAGTGCATGGGACTTGGGACTTCCTCGAAAGAGCCACAGCAGAAGCCAAAAAGCGTGCAAGCCTGAGCTAGGGCAAGCGTCTGGCATTGGCTTCGGGCGGGTCCATGTAGGATGCTTTTCCCATGACTCCTGAAAGAACTCTTCAAGTCTGACTCTATAATCAGTGCCTCAACAGTTAAAAGTTGACAGGATTGTATGAAACACAGAAACAAGAGCTTAACACAATATCAAAGATAGTAGCAACCTCTCTTCACTCAGTTCCTAAAATCTATCCTATGACCTTGACCTTAGTGAAATGACATTACTTCTTTCCTATGCTCTGAGCTCTGTAAGAGTCAGGCAAAGATATGAATAACTTTAGCAACTATGTAAGGCCTTAGAAGATCATACCACAATTTGACCACTTTCCATTTTAACCTTTCTCTAAAAGCTCATTTTTACAACTTTTACTCAAGGATATAAGAACGTTTATAAGAACATTTTCTTTGCTATTACACATGCAGTTCTATTAAGGGAACTTGTACCAAACAGTAAAAATGTACAATCTCTCAATGATGCATTTTCACATTTTCTTGTGAAAATTACTTACTTCCCTAGAACACTGTCAATTATTTACTATTATTTGATATTATTTACCCTGCACTGCATTTGTAAACGCATTAAAGGAATGAAAAGACTTGCTCCTTGCACGTGAGTTGCTTGTGATACAGATAAAAGATTAAAAACAAAAAGCACAGCACTAACTAAATCTATGGTGTGCAGATTATAAGAGTGATAGAAGTTTAGTGTTGTAAGAACTCAGAGGAAGGCTAGATTAATTTTGCTTAGGGAAAATGGGTGGCAGACGGCATCTGAAAAAAAGTCTTAGAAAATGTATAATATTTCAACACAAAGACAGCATTAGAGAAGGGCATTTTACATGGAGGTAACAATTTTAGTAAAGGCACAGAGGCAAGAGGGTATGTGTGAATGTAGAAAACTTCAAGTGAAGGAGTCCAGCTGAAGGACAGGATACATGGGGAGAAATGACAGGAAACTGATCTGGAAAAGCTGTGGCCAGTTCTTAACATAAAAGGGGCGGGGGGATGTAGAAAGCTAGATTTTAGAAATAGGAAATCACTTTTAAAACATTCCCTTTACTAATAATTTTTCCCACCACATCTTTGATTTTTAGAGTGAGAAATATTTTAGTAGCAAGTTTACTTGCAAACTACGAGCAGTCACTTCAAAGAACAATGAAGTAAATGCTGGCAAATTTGTGGCTGCAGCTTAAATGATAATATTCTTATTACCTATATCTTGTGATTGTTTTACAACTCTCTTTTCTCATCATCAAAATACCTTCTTAGTTTAATGCATTCTGTATGTACCGAGTGGCTACTCCGGAACTAGTATTTGCTCACATGTTTACTCATCCCCTCCTTTTCTGCCCCAATCTGTCCTACTAACCACTCACTCAGTCACTCATTCTTCTCCTGTAAACTGTATCAACAATAATAACATTACTGGCTCCAACTTGCTATAGTGACAGGCATTGCAATTAATGCTTTATGAACAGTATTTAATATAATCCTCAAAACAAAACTATGAAAAAGGTATGATTACCCCTATTTTACAGATGAGGCAACAAATTCAGAGATGTTAACTATTTTGCCAGTTGCTAAGTGACAGAATCCAGGTTTAAATCACATATGCTTGATTCCAGAACCCTTGCCTGTTACCACTTCACTGTATCCTCTCCAATATCCTTTGGCCTCTTACTGCTATGGTTCAGTATTTTCAATTAAAAATTAAAGGATTCACTGAGTGACTGCTACTTTAAGATCCTGTTCCAGGTATTGTCAGAGGTATATAAATAGATGAGAGAATGCCTGTGGGTTATAAATGCTCATAATCATCCATATTTGAGTATAAAGAGCCATGCCTTTTATCAGTAAGATGGTATGTCCATGATTCATGAATTAAGAGCAACTAAGGAGAAGGAGGGTGAAAAGAGCTTGGTATATGAATGTGGATGGTGACCACATCTCAGACAGAAATCAGTCAACCCTGACTAGATGACTTACAGAGAATTTTAATAATACATTTCAAACAGAGTCTGTAAAAACTCTCTCTGCTGATGAAAAATCTGTCCTGTCAGAAGTTCCCAACCAAATCTGCTTACAATCCATTTTCAATGAACCTCAACTTCCTTTGAAGTAGAATAAGCTACTAAAGCATTTTAGCCAACAATAAGCACATTGTGAGGCTAGTGCTTATAAGATTCATTACTGATGAACAAAGTTACTGAGTTAAAACACAAACATATTATCAAACTACTGGTACCACATAGTCTGAATATTGTGTAAAGTGATACAGAACTATTTAAATGCAAAAAAATAATTCAAACATGTCATCTTTTTAAGCTACCTGCTTCTAATATTCCCTTCACTAACTTCTGAATAAGTTAATACTGTCAGGATACTGGTTACATTTTTACAAACAATGAGAAAAGTTATGGATACACAAGAAATTGAGTAGGGTGCTGCTCAGCAGTCCTCTTTAAGGTAACCATACATGTTGTTGTTTAGTCGCTAAGTCATGTCTGACTCTTTTGTGATACCATGGACTATAGCATGCCAGGCTCCTCTGTCCATTGGATTCTCCAAGCAAGAATACTGGAGTGGGTTGCCAGTCCCTTCTCCAGGGGAGGTTCCTGACCCAGGGATCGAACCCGGGTCTCCTGCATTGCAGACAGATTCTTTACCAACTGAGCCACCAGGGAAGCCCTAGGGGACATCATTTCAGTTCAGTTGCTCAGTCGTGTCCGACTCTTTGCGACCCCATGGACTGCCAGGGGACATAGGGCTAACCTATTAGTTTGGCAAGCAGGGCCCCATCTTCAGAGTTGCTGTCTGGAGGGGAGGCAGAGGGTTAACCCGCATGCATTAACTATTAGAGTGCACTCTGCTAGGGATGCAGGGGAGTGCTTCAGGAGCTCATAGGCATGGCACCAGCCCCAGAGTTGGGATTCCTAGTCCCCAGCAGCCTCCCTCCTGCTGTCTGGAATGCTCTCCCCTGGCTGAAAGATCCGCCCCCACCATGTCTGCATGGCTCCCGCTCTCCACTAGTCAGTGCACGTGTGTCACGTCACTTCAGTTGTGTCTGTCTCTGCGACCCTATGGACTGTAGCCCACCAGGTTCCTCTGTCCACAGGATTCTCCAGGCAAGAATACTGGAGTGGGTTGCCATTCCCTTCTCCAGGGGATCTTCCCAACCCTACTTGGCAGGCAGATTCTTTACCACTGAGCCATCAGGGGAAGCCCAACCGCACATACCCAGGGACATTCGTAAGGAGTCACAATTTTGGACCCATGCACAGTATTCACATCAAAAACTGCACAGCTAAGTCTTATCCAAAGATCACTATGGCAAATACTGTCCGTATTTAATCTGGAATCTAAACACTGAATACAATTCATTTTAAGAAAACAAAAGTCAATAAAGAGAAACCATTTTAAGAATTTAAGACTGGCAAAAGAAGTAGCAATCACGTCTCATTAACAAGAGGAATCATGAGGCTACATAAAATTACGACACCAATACTTACTGTTCAATTCGGGGTGACAAGTACAGCTTAGGGTATACCTGAGTGGCTTCAGTGTCCTCAAAACTGACAGAAAGGAGGGCCACATCTTCTCCTGGGTCTTCATTCACATCCTTAAACAGTTAGTGAAAAACACAATGTCATTAGTACTTGCTCTCATAACATTTTTCTGGTGACCAGCTTACTGTCCGCCAGCAATGAGGCTGTGTGGGTCACCTGGATTCTAGTTTTGAGACTCCATACATGCTTTGCCACATATCTAGTCACTCTTTAATAGTGACAGCTTTCAAACATTCTGATCAAACTCCACCATAATAATAAAAAGATCCCCACCAATCTTTCAGTTGTTCCCACATTCCAAGAAGGAACAAGTGAATCTCGTGTTAAAATAAAGGATTAGACAAAAATGTAGTTAAGTTACAGTAAACATGCTGCTAGCAAGATATATAATGTCTTACAATTTATATAATACATACAAATGGCTTAAAATTTACTTTTCCTAGAAAGAAGATGCATTATAAACATGATTTATATCACCAGACAGTAAGAAAATCTTAAAATACCCTAGGAATTTTATTATATCTATCTTGATAATATACTGTAAGATATTTAAATAGTAAACGTTGCCAAGAAATATATTACTATGAAGTGTGCCACTGTACATGCAAATGGCAGGGTGTTACGCACATACCTGTTCAAACAAAATGATCATGGATGATTCATATGTGAACCACAAGACATATGTATTTTAAAAGTCTAGTTATAAGAATATTATAAGACAAAAACAAAGAAACATTGAGAGGTTGAACTGATAATGATAAAGCTAAACTTATTGTAATTTATAATTAAAAAACAAGAATAGCAACAATCAAATGTCATAATCAACTCAAGCCAACACTGATGATATATTAAACTGTCCTGAATTAAAACTGCGGGACTTACCACTATGTGAATGTACTTTACAATCACTGCCAAGCACTGAGTATTTGGCAGACTTCTGAAACAAATCCGAATTAGAATAAATTCTCATAGCATGGTGATTTCAATTTGAGAATAGAAAATTTTAATAACCCTTAACAATTTATTTCTGATTGGTAAGTGGCTACAGAGGCTTCCCTGTTGGCTCAGGCAGTAAAGAATCTGCCTGCAATGTAGGAGACCCAGGTTCAATCAGGAAGATCCCCTGAAGAAGGGGATCCCACTCTAGTATTCTTGTCTGGAGAATCCCATGGATGGAGAATGTTGGACTACAGTCCATGGGGTCGCAAAAAGTCGAACATGACTGAGTGACTCTCTCTTTCTCTCTCTCTCTCTCTCTCTCTCACACACACACACACACACACACACACACACAAATGGCTCCAAGTCAAATACAAGTTTTTAAGAAACTTAATAGAATTGCACATTTTTCACACTAAGGCACTACTAAGAGCCAACCCACATTTCTAAATCAGATCACACGTTCTCAGCAGACATCCTAGGAGAGTCCCAACCCAGACTTTAAGAATCACTGTGATACTTGGGAATCTCAGACATGATGTCCTTCCTTTGGTCTAAAACAGGCCTCAGCCCAGCTTCTCCTGCATCTTTGGAAGCTGGTCCTCACACTCACCCACTTATCTCTAGCATCGTTGGTCTCCCTGCTCTGCTTTCTACTGTGTCTACAGGATGCACAACTGTGGCAAGTATACATAGGGACAAGGAATGGAAGTCTCCCCTATCTTAAAATGTAAAAATTTTTAAAAGAAAGAAAAGAAATCATGCTGATTTCTGCTTAGTTCCCTGGGTTTTCTCTCACATCTCCCCTCCACTGCATAGACTGCTGCTGAAAGAGTGGTCCACACTCCCTGTCTCACTCCCTCCCCTCTTCTTAACCTCCCCTTAGCCTGCTCTAGTAGCCTTCTGACCCTACTTCCTACCAGGACAGCCACTAAAGACAACAAATGCCTCTCGGTCCCCATCTTACTTGATCTCTAAACAGTATTTGACACGGAATTCTCTCTCCTCTGAAAATACTCCTTCTTGCTCCGAAGAAGCTATATGTTCCTGGTCTTCTCTTGTCTCTTTGGCCACTTCCCCCTCTTTTTTCTTCCTCTCTTTTTTAACTTCTCAATTGTTTTTTCATTTTACATTACAAAATTCAGGCTTGTTGTAACAAGTCAAATGATACTGAAGGTTTTTTTTTTGTTGTTGTTGTTTTAAAAAGGCATTTCCAAAAATAAATAAATAAATAAAAAGGCATTTCCATCCTTGCTTTTCAAGGTAACCAATAGTAACTGTGTATGTGGCCTTAAACAGCTTTTTCTATGATCATAAAAACATACACACACTTGCATATAAATAACTCTTTAACTGTGTGTTCTGTTTTCCCTAATAAGAGTCCTATTATACACAGGACTCTACCACTGCTTTCTAAATAGTCACATAATATTTCACGTCATGGATTTATTTTGTATTTAACCATTCCCCTAGCAACAGACATTCAGGTTGCCTGTAGTTCTTAGCCACTTGATAGTGCTGCAATAAGTATCTTTGGATAAATACCCTTTAGTAGTGGGACTTCTATTTCTTAGGAGATAACTAAAACTCAGCTTGCTGAGTCAAAGGCTATAAAGATTTTACATTTTAATAGATTGTTTTTCTAAAACTTCTGCAGCAATTCACATTTGGGCCCATGAATTTGCATCAGTATGAGAAAGCCTCTTTCTGTTCATCCTGAGTAACTGGATGATACTGGCTGTTTCTCTTTCATTCAACATTGGCAATCTGATAGCTGGAAAACTGTACCTCAATTTAGATTTAATGAATGAAGCTGGGCAATTTTTTTTTACTTGTTTATAGATAATTTACATTTCTCCTATAAACTTTCCCATCAAATCTTTTGCCCATTTTGCTTAAAGGTTTTTGGACTTTTTTGTTGTTATTGTTATTGTTTATTACATTTACTAACCCTTGTTTATCCCATGTATTATAAATATTTTCTTTTTTTTCCATTTATTTTTATTAATTGGAGGCTAATTACTTTAAAATATTGTAGTGGTTTTTGCCATACATTCACATGAATCAGCCATGGATTTACATGTGTTCCCCAGCCCAATCCCCCCTCCCGCCTCCCTCTCCATCCCATCCCTCTGGATCTTCCCAGTGCACCAGCCCTGAGCACTTGTCTCATCACCAGCCCAGGCTGGATGCAAATATTTTCTCTTTTTGGCTTCTGACTTTGTCTGGGGGCTCTTCTGACATCAGAAGAAAATTGAGAATGCTATAGGGTTAAATCTGGCAAATAACTCAGAGGTTGTTTAACCATTTTCCTAGTTTTTCCTCTAACACTGTTACAATTTTATTTTTACATGTAGATTTTGCAATGCATGTATATCTGGACTATATCTTTAGGTGGAATGACAGAGGAAGTATGTAAAAGGAACAAGTAGTACAGTGCTTGGAACACAGAAACCACTCAATGTCTGCTGAATGCATAAATCAATAAACAATTTAATGTTAATTCCTAACTTTTTCCTCCACACCTAGTGATTTTATAAAAGTTGCTGTCACCAGTGATGTCTGGGAACTAAGTACTGGTTCCTGGCTCCTGTCCTCTCCCCCACCTCCCCTCCCCAGTAAACCAAAGTCCCCAGAACTAGTGGTTTTAAAAGGAAAGCCAAGATTGGGAGTCTGAGTTTATCTATCACTTTTTACTCTTTTATAGATGAGAAAGAATCCAACTTTGTATGCTCCTTTCTGTAAAGTAAGGATGGAAAATTTTAAAAATACTTATAGCCTCAGCAAATAGAAACTATGTAATTATATGATTCTAAAACTCATAAAATATCTAAAATAAGGGTGAAGCTGAGCTTGAAAAAATTCACATTCAGAGAGACAAATTCATTTTATAATCTAAGTACAAAAGTAGTTCCCTTTGGAGTTAGGGTAGTCACCTTCAGAGAGACAGTAAAAGAAGAACTAACATTAAACTGACTTTCAGATACCTTTGCCCAACAACTAAGTTTCCTTGTTAAATGTCTCTGACTACAAGTCACAGAACTCTGTTAAAATTTTAAAAAAACACTGAAAAAAACGGGGGCCACTAAAAATCCTTTTAATTAACAGCTTCATTCCATATGCCTATGAATAACTTATATTATTATTTCCCTTTCCTATTTTTTGAACCTTGCATTTCACTACTATTTAAGCAAAGAACAGAAATGCTCAGAGACAGTCCTCCAAACAACCGGAATGACCCTGGTTTACATAATCAACATTTATTATCTGGCATCCTGCAAAAAGTACATGAAACATTAGTCTGAGTATGAAAACAGCTGTTTCTAGAAGTTCCTTTTATGAACTTCTTTAATATGATTTATTCCCCTTGGTGTGTGTGGCACATGAGTTTTCCCCGAGTTGGTATTTGATATCTAATGGATACGTAAGTTTGACTTTGAGAGCTTAAATAAGCCCAAAGAGTTCCAAAAATACAAATCTACACAGTGCTGCTTCCAGTTTCTGCAGCTCTAACAGGCCTGTACATGTGTTCCTTCCCATCTGGGAAATTATAAAAGAAGCTCTTGTACCATGGTTCTTAGAAGCTAACATTACAGATGATTATTGTAACCACTAATGGCAGCATTTGGAAAACTGGGGGTGGTAACAGTGTAGTAGGGGAAATTTTAAAATGTACAAGTATACATTTTCAGGGCTTCCTATCTGTGCCATTTGAAACTGCAGCAGACTAAAATGGGGTTGGGGGGCAATGCCGAATCTGCTAAAGCTGAAACAAAAATACTGCCTCACACCTTTACAAAAGCATGTCAGGCACTGATATGCATATGGCAAGGCAATCATGGCTGTGATATTTTGCTGAGAATTATCAGTGGATTTGGCATGGCACTTGGTTATAGCAGAAAGGGCTTCCTGTCGCTTGCAGTGAATAGTCACTAGATGGTGAGTTCCTTGCAGGATGGGAGTTTTTCCTGTTCATTTTTGTATCCCCAGTGTCTGGAACATAGTAAATATATAGCAAATTGGTTGGAAAAAAACTGAATTAGCACAGGAATGACTGTAAGAGTGAGTAAATGATGGAGTTAAACAGAAAATGCTTTCTGTTACAAAGATTCTC